TCTTTCAATACAGCAAAAATCACTGTAGGATTTTGACTTTGAAAGACACATTGCATTTTCACAGGATTATTTGTTAAATTATTTTTGTTAATTTAAATCTTAGTTAACATACAATGCAATATTGGTTTCAGGAGCAGAATTCAGTGATTCATCACTTACATACCAAACCCTGTGCTCATCACAAGTGCTCATTTTAATACCCATCACCTGGGGCGCCTGGGTGGCGCAGTCGGTTAAGCGTCCGGCTTCAGCCAGGTCACGATCTCGCGGTTCGTGAGTTCGAGCCCCGCGTCGGGCTCTGGGCTGATGGCTCAGAGCCTGGAGCCTGTTTCCGATTCTGTGTCCCCCTCTCTCTCTGCCCCTCCCCCATTCATGCTCTGTCTCTCTCTGTCCCAAAAATAAATAAACGTTGAAAAAAAAAAATACCCATCACCTATCTAGCCCCTCTTCCACCCACCAGCAACCCTTAGTTTTCTATCACTAAGAATCTCTTGTGGTTTGTTTCCCCCCTTCTCTTTTTCCTCCACTTTCCATGTGCTCTACTGTTTTATTTCTTCAATTCCATAAAAGTGTGAAGTCATATGGTATTTGTCTTTCTCTGGTTGGCTTATTTTCTTAACATGATACATTCAAGCTCCATCTACATCATTGCAAATGGCAAGATTTCACTCTTTTTGATGGCTGAGTAATATTCCATTATATATATATATACATATATATATATATATATATATATATATATATATGCCACATCTTGTTTATCCATTTATCAGTCAATGGACATTTGAGCTCTCTCCATAGTTTAGCTATTGTTGACAATGCTGCTATAATTATTGGAGTGCATATACCCCTTCGAATCAGCATTTTTGTATCCTTTAGGGAAATACCTAATAGTACAAATGTAGGCTCATAGGGTAGTGCTCTTCTTAGTTTTTTGTGGACCCTACATACTGTCCTGCAGAGCACCTGCAACAGTTTGCATTCCCACTAACAGGGTAAGGGAGTTCCCCTTTCTCTGCATCCTTAAAAACACCTGTTGTTTCTTGTGTCGTTAATTTTAGCCATTCTGATAGGTGTGAAATGGTGTCCCATTGTGTATTTGATTTGTAATTCCCTGATAATGAGTGAAATTGAGACTGTTTTTATGTGTCTGTTGGCTGTCTGGATGTCTTCTTTGGAAAAGTGTCTATTCATGTCTTCCTTCCATTTCTTAACTGGGTTGTTGTTTTGGGGGGTGTTGGGCTTGATAACTTCTTTATAGATTTTGGATACTAACCCTTGTGCCCTCCATGGGTCCAATAAGCTCACTCAGAAGTTATTATGGGCTTCGTCCACATGATTGTTAGATAGATACCTCCCAAACCATACTATCAAATGGATTGATGTTAACTTATCATGACTTGTATGATGGCATCATAATGATAATAATGCTACAGTAACTTGAAAAAAGAATCTCCTTGATTTTACAGAGAAAGAAAATCATTTTTTTCTCCAACCTGCCTGCTTGTCTGTCCTAAGAGGATCTTTTAAGAACAAGGAAGAAGGGATTGGAGAAGTTCCCAGAAGGTAAAATCCCTTAGGCTCTGGAGTTATAACTACCCCCAGATATTTCAGGAACTAACCAGAACTCCGATATCAGTGGACCCCAGCTTCACATCCTCTGTAAGTGAGTCTGGGTATAGAGGGTGCCTGAGAAGCAGCTATATCAAGATTAGCCAGAGCACTGGGGATGGGGAGAGGAGACACCTTTCTCTTCCATCAGATCAGTGCTCCTTTCCATTCCGGAGTCAGTACTGCTGAAGTAATCTGAAAACAGGGTAGTAGAGACTGAACCCTGTCTCACGTCAGGAAGCACAAATAAGAACCTGTGCGAAGGGACTTTCCCTTCTGCCCCCTCTTGCCTTTTTGGGTCTTTTGCTGGGTGGTACCAGAGAGGCAAATACGCAGGACTTTGTCCACAGGAGATGAATGGGAATGGGAGTCTGGAAAGGGCATTATCTGCAGCTTAGTTTAGATGATTTGGAGTTATCAACTGTACATATTGAAACACAGGGACTTTAGGGCAAAATATCTGCCTACAAATGCTTGAATCATGGTGGAGGAATTAAATTAAATCTAGCTAACATTAGAGGTTGAAGACAGAGACCACAATTGGGGATCAGAGGGAGTAATAAAGTAGTTCTTCAGATTAAGCTCAATCTAAAGAATTTCTACAAGCTATGCTGTAAAAACAAAAAATTATGCCCAGAAGATAACTGAGGTACCTGTCACTGGTTGCACTCAATAATTTCCTAAACAATATTTGGGAGAAATGGTTCAAGTTCTGTCTGAGTTTCTGGAGTTATGTGGTCCTGACAATACTACTACTACTACTACTACTACTAATAATAATAATAATAATAAACAGTACTATCGGACACAACATAAAAGAAAACTAAGAAGAAAATTGCATTCAGAGCAGTGAAACCAGGAGTCAAAATAGTAAGTGTGAGGAAAAGAGAGATTCCAGATTTCTGGAAAAGTGCCTGAGGATTTTATGGGCATGTGCATGGAGATGAGAGAGAGAAACCTAAAAACATATAAAACAAAATGCCAGATAAGATATGTATTTCTACACACTTTGGTGACACAGGAAACAGATGTATTCATATATTCACTGGCTTTAGACCTAACTTTCATTTCTTCCACATCCAAACCCTACTAATTAAACTGTGAAAATATACACAATATCAATGAATTTCAATTTGCCCATTTCAAAAGATAAATTGTTAAAGTGGTCAACTTAACCTACGTACTTCAGAATGTTATGAGTCACACATGAAATATGTTTAAAATTCATCTCCAAATCGCCAGTCATTACTTATTCTATTAGCAAGAGAAAAAGAATTGGAAAGCCATCTAAATCTCTTCTACTTATCATGTGAGATCCATGCCTGGCAGGTGCCAGCTGCACAAACCCTTGCTTAGGAAAGCAGAGGATCAAAGAGAATAGAGGAACCCTGGAAGGGAATGACCTATTCCCCCTCTGAGAGTAAGTCCCAGACACTAACAGGGTCTCCTGATGCAGAGAATCTAACAGCAGCCAGGTGAGCAAGACTGGAACTGCCACTGGGGAACAGAAAATCCTAACTGGAACAAAAAAAAAACCCTATTTGAACAACCCCAAGAAAAAAAATTACTAAAGGTATGAAAATATCATTCATCTTTGAGTTCACAGTTTTATTGTAACTTCCCTCATTGCCACCCTGTCCCCATTCCAACACTATTTCTCCTCCATCAGATTCAGTTATCAAAAACATTCATTGTATCATGCATGAAGCTGTTTTCTTTTTTATAGAATTGATGGGGTAAACACATTATCATACAATTTTTCATGAGATCCAGAGGAATCCTAGAAAATGCTCCAACACAACTGTATTAAGCAGGAAGATCAGTGTAATACAGTAGTGGGTGGTTAAGGTTGTGAGATATAAATTCCTTTTTGGTAATGTGATATTATAACATATCTCACTACATGCTAAATAACTCGAAAGGGATGAAGTCCTAGGATATTTCAGTACAGTTAGAAGAAATGGTAAAAGTTCCCAAATTAATATGCAATTTATGTTGTATAGTGAGCCTAAAGAGTAATAAACAGGGAAGTACTTAAAACCTCTAATGAAAAAGTGTTTCTAAACCTATAAAGTAATGGTTTAACAGAGGCCTTGGTGCATGTAGACAGATTAGCTACAATGGACTGAGAGATTTGAAGTACCCCACAAAGACCTGATCCTTACCTTTGACCAGACTACAGCCATCTTTCAAATCTCTTTCACAATTCAGGGGGACAACCATATTGGAATCCTTCACCCTTAATGTAAAGGAGAGAAGCACCTCACTATATTTACATTGTTTCACCAGCCAATGTCCCTTGTACCTTGTCCCATATCAGAGTTACTCAGCCTCTCCTTCACTCTCCTAATAGTTTGTCAAGACCTGTCATTTGTTCTTATTATTACTCATTGCCCCCTGAATGGTTTCCTTTTACCTCCTGAGAGTAAGGACAGTCTTTTTCAATGTTGTGATCCTAGCACCTAACAGAATGCCAGGGGAGGATATTAAGTGATAAGAGAACATGGCAACATTGAATTGTGCTTGGAAACAGAGAAATGTGTACCTGGATCATTATACTGAAGATGGAAAAATAAAATTAAAATGGGATGCTAATCTTTAAAGTTAAGACTTCATCACACTATTGCAACCAGAACAGATTTTCACCTTTTCTGATAGCAGGTATGGGTCTCACATAGCTATGTGAAATTTCTCCTTTTCCTCTTAAGTTTCTTTCTTTCCAAAGTTAAGAATCCTACAAATGTGAAGATGTATAGAGGAGGAAAAATTTGACTATTTGGCAAGATCCTCACCTACCTCATTAAATGACTGTTTACAGATTATGAAGATTAAGTACTTTATCTGCAGGGCATCATTGTTTAAATCTGTAATTAATGCAAACTACAGCTGAAAACTCAGAACAGGAGTGGCAGGGAAAGCTAGGGACACTTATCTGAATGCCAATTTTGCCAGGCTGTACTACTTGTCTGCGTATATTATTACACTTCAGTTATCATGTGGTAGTCTATATGATAATTAAAGAATAAAACACAAAAGGAAGAAACTTATAAGAACAATTTGGGACACACCAGTCCAAAAGTAGTTTTCTAGGCAATTCTCTCCTTCTCTTTAGTTTCTGCAAAGAAATAACATGTTTGAACAAATCAAACATGTCTAAACAAACCATATATCCTCAGTCCTCTATACTGCTTAAATTGATAGGATTATCCCAGTAGCATGGCACAAAGGACAAACAGATGAATTCACATGACTCTGGATGACTTGCTAGGACTCAAGCATGTCACCTAGGTGAAGCAAATTGTTCTAAATCCATGTGTCATGTGTCACTAGCTAATTTTTATCCTAATTTTACAGACCACTACAAGAATTGTAGAAATATATGACAAAATATGACATCACACCAAAATGGCACCATCTCCTCTGAGGTTTCAGACTTCCTCCTGAATTGTTTTGTCAGGTCCCACACCTGGCAGCTCTGGTTGTCCCTGCCACTCAGTCTCCTCCTTTTCCTGGCCATGGTGGCCAATATTGTTCTCCTGATCACCATATGGCTGGAAGCCTCTCTGCATGAGCCCATGTACTATCTACTCAGCATCCTCTCCCTGCTGGACATCATACTCAGTCTCACTGTCATTCCCAAGGTCCTAGCTATCATCTGGTTTGACCTCAAGTCCATCAGTTTCTATGCCTGCTTCCTCCAGATGTTCATCATGAATGGCTTCTTTGCCATGGAGTCCTGTACATTCATGGTCATGGCCTATGACCGTTATGTGGCTATCTGTCACCCACTGAGGTACCCATCCATCATCACTGACCAATTTGTAGTCAAGGCTGCTGTCTTTATTTTGGCCAGGAGTAGTATTGTTACAATGCCTATCCCCATTCTCTCATCCCGACTCCATTATTGTGGGAGAAAGGTCATTGAGAACTGCATCTGCACCAATATGTCTGTCTCCAGGCTCTCCTGTGATGATGTCACCATCAATCGCCTTTACCAGTTTGCTATAGGATGGACTGTGCTAGGATCTGACCTCATCCTCATCTTTCTCTCCTACACCCTCATACTGCGAGCGGTGCTGAGACTCAAGGCAGAGGGTGCTGTGGCCAAGGCCCTGAGCACATGTGGCTCCCACTTCATCCTTATCCTCTTCTTCAGCACCATCCTGCTGGTCTTCGTGCTCACTCTTGTGGTGAAGAAGAAAGTCTCCCCTGATGTGCCAGTCTTGCTCAACATCCTCCACCATGTTATCTTCTCAGCCCTCAACCCCATTGTGTATGGGGTGCGAACCCAGGAGATCAAGCAAGGAATCCAGAGATTATTAAAGAAAGGGTGCTAATAAGGACAACAGGATCTCTGCATTCCTGAGTTTTGAATCAATAATGGGTGAGGGGGTTGATATTCACATCCACGAGTTGCAATCTCAAAGTGGGTAAATTGAATAACGTGTCTTCTTTAATAAAACTTACGTTTCATTGTAATTTCTTTTTTTTTCTCACTTCTCCCTTAGGACTATCATTGACCCCTTTTGATTTTCCCCCAAAATATCCTATTTTGACAAAATACTGGGAATCCTTGGGGGACAGGTTCTGAAGTGAGAAATTTATGTTCCTGAGTATACAGCTGTTAATATGTCATGCCTTTGGAGTTGAATATACAACTGTGGACATTTTGGCTTACAGTTGTATAATATGTAATGCATTCTTATTCTTATTTCCACATAAGGGAGCATATTAAAGACAAAGACATAGGCGTGAAATTTCAGTCCTAAATGATGGATCATTACTGCTGATCCTAATTGAGTCTCCATTTGGGTGATGATTCAAAATGAGGTTTGTAAGAGGACAGGGTTTTTGGATGGATTTGTTACTTGTGCAACAATTAGCAATGTATTTGATTAGATTTGAGATACTCATAAATTTTCCTCCCCAAAGGTTTGTGCTTTGGACGTTTATCTTTTGGATCCAGGCTGTCAAAATTTATGGTATCAAAATACAGTTCCTCTGATGAGTTAAAGATTGCAAGAATTGGGCACTTGGGTGGCTCAGTCAGTTAAGCATCTGATTCAGTCTCAGGTAGTGATCTCATGGTTCGTGAGTTCCAATTCCACATCAGGTGAGCTTGAGCCCCACTTCAGGTGAGTTCTGGTTATCGCTCTTTCCCTCTCGCTCTCTCTGCCCCTCACTCACTTGCATACGCTCTCTTTCTCAAATAAAATAAAAACTAAAAAAAAAAGTTTGCGAGTGTTGTTATGTATCATCCTGTAATAATAATTTAAATATGGAAAATATAATATCTGAACATTGTTTTCATATTAACTGTACAGTTTCTAAGCACTAGATAGAGACTTAAGGTTTGAATTGTAAGTCCTGCACAACTACCAAAAAAAGGGGGTCTTTGGGAACAAATTAGGTGTTCTCATTGTGTTTCATGGTATATACTCATTGGCTACCCCTGAGAATAGTGAACAATTTGTTTTAGAATATACTTGCTTTTTAATTTTTTTTAGAGACAGAGAGAGACAGAGCATGAGCAGGGGAGGGTCAGAGAGAGAGGGAGACACAGAATCCAAAGCAGGCTCCAGGCACCAAGCTGTCAGCACAGAACCTGATGCAGGGCTTGAACTCATGGAGTGTGAGATCATGACCTGAGCTGAAGTCGGATGCTTAACCAACTGAGCCACCCAGGCACCCCAGAATATCCTTTCTAAATATGAGCTTTTGTGCCTCAATAACAACTTATCAGTGTGTTTCCTTGTTTAGACCATGGAAGGAAAATCTCTTAACAGTCTAAATCAATACTCCCCCCTAAACCTGGGTCTTTCAGCCTTAACTGAGCACCTGGATTCATCTTTAGACTACTCAAGCTTTCACTCAGCACAACTCTGTTTCTTCATCTTCTCCATCTCACAGTGAAGAATAATAAATTGGTGTTTCATTCCTCTGCTTCTGGATATCACTATGAGCTACTATTTGAAAAATAAACCTGTACACACATAATTAAGAAATAATAGTTAAGAGAAGCCTGGGTGGTTCAGTTGGTTAAGCATCTGACTCTTGATTTAAGTTCAGGTCATGAACTCACGGTTTGAGGGACTGAGCCTCCCATATGGCTCTACATTGAGAAATCTGCTTGGGATTCTCCCTTTCCTTTTCTCTCTCTGTCCCTCCTCTGCTCATATGCTCTCTCTCTCTCTCTCTCTCTCATCCTCAACAAATAAATAAATAAATAAATACAATACAATACAATACTTAGAAGTACATAATCAACATTCTATTTAGGAATAATATGTTTCTCAAAAGTAAAAAAAAAAAGTCAAGATCCAATTAGGTTCATACCATAAATAACCTCTTTCTTTGTCACTTGAAAAAGAACTCCCCAAAATCCCATTCTCTTGCACATTTAAACTTTAACAAAATGACATGGTTTAAAATGTAAAAACTGGAGAGCAACAGGAAGGTCTTATGAATATGAAGATATAATATGCTAAAGTAAATTTATCCTACTATCTCTAAGGAGCTAATTAAAATCTACTAGTTCAAACACTATCATATATTAACATCTTCTCATCAAGGAACTAAAAACTTTCAGGACTAATCTCTACTAGGGTCACATTGTATAACAAACCCAGAGCTCTCCAATTAGCTGTTAGAAAACTTGAACATTGAATGCATGAAAAAGGCTACATCAGGGGATTTAAAGCATATACCACCCAAGACTGAGAAAATTTGGCATAAGCCATGTCTTCCAAAGTAGACTAGCAAAATCTTTATATTTAAAACCTATATTTTTGAAAGTTTTGCATTGTTGTGTTTATATGCAACTTATACACATTTATGGCTCACATCAAAGAAGTACTGACAGATCCATTTGATAAGTTGAACAGATTAACAATGGCTTTATCCCACTAAAATAATTGATACTAAAACAGTGCTGTCCAGAACAATGTGGGCCACATACTTAATTTTAAACATTTTAGTAGCCACATTAATCTATAAAAAGAAAATAAACTGTAAAAAGTAAAAATGTTATATAATAACATATTTTATATTCTTTTTAGGTATTCCAGGTCTTTGAAATCCAGTATGTATTTTACATTTATGGCATATTTCAGTCAGGACAACTGAGTTTCAGGTGCTCAACAGCCACATGTGACTAGTAGGTAATATATGGATCAGTTCAGCACTAGACATACAGCTTCAAAAGGCAAATGAAAAATGGGTAGGAGAGCAATTGAACTGAGGAAAAATGTATCCTTCTTGGAAAAGAATTAAAACAATATTGTTTCTTCTTGGCTGTGACTTTGTTTTTTTTTATGTTTTTCCATATGGAGGAAAGGAAGCCAGTGTTTTAGAGGATGAATAATGATTTCCCTGTCTTAAAATCTTGCATTACATGAGTGCTCATGTCTTAAAGACCAGTGTGAGAAGGGTAAAGTAAGAGAAAACCCATCTATTGCTTTTTACAATACACAGTCCTCAAATCCTGGAGCAACAGATTTGAAATACAACCATATAGGGCCACCGGGGTGGCTCAGTTGGTTAAGCGTCCTCCTCTTGATTTTGGCTCAGGTCATGATCTCACAGTTCCTGGCATCAAGCCCTGCATCAAACACTGTGCTGACAGTGCAGAGCCTGCTTGCGACTTTCTCTCTCCCTTTCCTTCTGCCATTCTCTCTCTCTCTCTCTCTCTCTCTCTCTCTCTCTCTCTCTCTCTCTTTCTCTCTCTTTCTCAAAAAGAAAGAAAGAAAGAAAGAAAGAAAGAAAGAAAGAGAAAGAAAGAAAAAAAGAAGGTCATATGTAAACCTTGGAAGTTACAGAAACTAAGAAAAAATGTAAATAAAGACTTTACTGATGATAAGACAGGAATATTAGTGCTAGGGGAAGCAACAGATGATAGTGTCAAAGGTTTATAAAAAGTTAGATGTTAATAATCATACTCTGTCATTACTTAAACTACTCATAACACTATTTACAGGTACATATGTATGAGTATTTTAAATTAGTTATTTTCAACTCTATTATTTTAATAAAGTATATTTTATATGAAATGCTTAATAGTGTAAATGGTATAATTACTCAGTAAAACATATGAGTAGGAAAAACAGTCTCTTAAAACCTAATACCCATATCCACAAAATGTTACAGCTCAGATTTTGTTGTGAGACTTTTCAGTTTACTTACTTATTACCCACAATTGGACCCTTCCTTCAACGTGCAGAGAAAGACAAATCTTTGGGGGCAGACACAGCTGACACCAGAAATTGTGCCAGAAGAACAATGCAGAGCACAACAGAGAAAGGTAATGGCCCTTCAGGCCAACAGTCCATATTATATTATCTGCAAAATATTCACTGATACCTAATATAGACATCTTTGTTATGGTGCTGGGGTTGCAGTAATGAGCAGGACAGTCAAGGTCCATGTTTATAAGTGCAAACGGCCTGTGCTTGGAGGAAGGAGAAGTCCAAGAAGCAAAGGGAAATGTTAATATGTAGGAAAGACATAGCCAAAGAGAAGCTAAGGTAGAGGCCTAAGTGGCAGTGGCCACTTGGCAAAAAGTCAGGACCCAAATACGGAATAGGATTTGAAGGACTAGGCAGAATATTGCATTAGGAACTTGAGTTTGAGCCAAGGAAGTAACACAATCCTATAAACCGAAGCTATACAAGCACTCTCAACAATAGCCAAATTATGGAAAGAGCCTAAATATCCATCAACTGATGAATGGATAAAGAAATTGTGGTTTATATACACAATGGAGTACTATGTGTCAATGAGAAAGAATGAAATCTGGCCCTCTGTAGCAACGTGGATGGAACTGGAGAGTGTTACGCTAAGTGAAATAAGCCATACAGAGAAAGACAGATACCATATGGTTTCACTCTTATGTGGATCCTGAGAAACTTAACAGAAACCCATGGGGAAGGTGAAGGAAAAAAAAAAAGAGGTTAGAGTGGGAGAGAGCCAAAGCATAAGAGACTCTTAAAAACTGAGAACAAACTGAGGGTTGATGGCGGGTGGGAGGGAGGGGAGGGTGGGTGATGGGTATTGAGGAGGGCACCTTTTGGGATGAGCACTGGGTGTTGTATGGAAACCAATTTGACAATAAATTTCAAAAATAAATAAATAAAATGAAAAAAATGAAAAAAAAAAACCCACAAAGTTATACAGAGGAAATAGGGGCTGAAAAACAGGATTCCCTTCATCAGAACCAGGCACAATCCAGAGAAAATGTATCACAGTACAGTCTAATAGAAATGATAATTCAATGCTAAGACCTCTAACTTCCAAAATATTATTCAAATAATTATACTATGAACCCAGCATGCTTAGATTAGATGCCATATGGGGGAAAGCTGAGACAAGTCACAGAATATTAGATCTGACTGCACACACTAAAACCTAGAAATAAAGTAGCTATCTAATTCCAGGATGCAGGACACATTGTCCTTTGTCAGTGAGAGTTTTCAAATGTCTTGTAATTACAAAAGTACTTGTTTATATTTTCCTTTTTGTGTAATTTAAATCTTGCTTGAATTTTGTGAGCTCTATTTTGTATATATGAATATGGGGGTACTTGCAATGTATGATATAGTCAATGTTTCAATTCTTAAAACTGGTGCTGCCTGTACACAGACTTTGATAGCAGATTTGACAGTATAGGGGGAAAAAAAAACAAAGAATTTAAAGGTATAGAAATGTAAACTATTTAGGGGCGCCTGGGTGGCACAGTCGGTTAAGCGTCCAACTTCAGCCAGGTCACGATCTCGCGGTCCGTGAGTTCGAGCCCCGCGTCGGGCTCTGGGCTGATGGCTCAGAGCCTGGAGCCTGTTTCCGATTCTGTGTCTCCCTCTCTCTCTGCCCCTCGCCCGTTCATGCTCTGTCTCTCTCTGTCCCAAAAATAAATAAAAGTTGAAAAAAAAAAAGAAATGTAAACTATTTAAACTAAAAAACATAGAGAAATGATGCTGAAAAAAAAAAAAAAGTAGAGTGACCTGATGACAGATATAATATTAACCAGTCTAGTATTCATATACTTGGTCATTGAAAGCATAGACAGAGAGGAAGTAGGGGAGAAAAACATAGTGACAATGTATTAGACTTTATAAACTATGTAGAAATAAAATGTGTGGTAAAAATAGAAGAATGATATGGAGGGGTCAAATGGAAATAAACCTTTATAAATTCATATCTTATATATGAAATAGAATAATATTATCTGAAGGCTGACTGATAATAGAAAGAAGCATATATTAAATACTAGCACTGAGAACAGTAGAAATTTTCTTTCAAAAGCCCAGATTTTTAAGGCCACGTAGTTTGTTGCAGCTATTCTGCCATATAGAGTAAAAGAAGCCATGAATGGGTTCTAATCACATCCACATAGCAAATGTCTGTGGTTGAAGAAGTAACAGACATTGGAGGAGTTAAGCTGGAGTAGCTGAGGGACCCAGGGCTTGCTCATCCCTTGAACACAGCTAGATCAACTTCAAATTTTGAACACCTAGTAAATCAATTTGAGGACTGGGAGAACAGTCTGCATAGTTTGAGAGAGAGAACCAGGCAGGTATGAGGTGTGGACACAGGAATTGGGGGAGAGAAAAGCCATGGTGCCATGGAGGGTAGGGAGCTCTTTTTGAGATGAGGAGAGATGGGAGACAGGCAGCATCTCATCAGGTTAATGCAATAAAAGCACTCCCCCAAAACCGCTGTCTGGGGGACTGGGAAGAACTCCAGAAAGTTCTTGTAAAAAGCAGAGATCAAATTCCTAGGTTTTGGAAGTCCTTACCATTCCCTGGAGTCAATTCAGGTGGGTCACAGTGCTTCAGAAGAGGAGGCCTGAGGCCTGGGAGCAGATAGCTGACACCATGGGATGGGGATCCTCTGGGTCGCAGGTTCCCCTTCCTGGACTGCATTTGGAAGAGGGTATATTGACTCCACAAGGACAAAAGACACAGCTGGAGCCTATGATCAGTCTTAACAGCAGGTGACAAAGACACAGGCAGATGCTCTGCTTCACCATAAACTCCAGGCACCTGCGCAGCAGTGCGACTGCCTTTCTGGGACAGAACAGCACCAGGTGCAGCACTGTGAGGTTCACCTTGGGAAGAGGGCAGTGGGTCTGTATCTTGCCAGGTCCTTTAAGATTTGGAGTTATAAAATCCGGACACGCACCAGAGATAAAACATAGGAGAGCTGTCATGCCAGCCATGTCAACAGCCCAGGCACAGATGGGTTGAGGGCAAGGATCTAATGGAGGTTTGAGACACAGGAGGGGAGACTGTTTGCTTGTCTGTGAGGGCTCTCTGATCAGTGGAAGGCATGAGCTCCCCACCCCAGGGAAGAAAGAGCAGGGTGGCACCATCTCCCCCCACCCCCACCAGTGTGGTTGGACTTCAGTGAGCAGCACAGCACCTCCAGTGGAAGCTGAAGTCACACCAAACCCTGCCCCGATGTGCCCTGCAGGACATCTTTACAAGGGCAGGTCTGACTATGAGCCAGTGCAATGGGCCTCTCACCCACAGGACCAACACAGGCACCCCCGCATGCATGAAGTCTACTGATCATAGAGTTCTCTTTAATCAGGCTTATAGTTTTTCGTTCATTTGTTTGGGGGGTTTTGGTGTCCTTTTATCAGATTTTTGGATTAGTCTTATTTTTTTCTTTCTTTATTTATTTTTCTTTGGAATCAGGCTTATAGGTTTTTGTTTGTTCAGGTTTTTTGTTCTTTTTCCATTTTTTTGGATCAGGCTTTTTTTTTTTTCAAATCAGGATTATTTTAACAAACAAATCAAGCCACACCTAGTTAAAGGTCCCAAAACCCCCCAGTGTAAGCAAGGAGGAACTCTGCAGAGGACTGATTCGGGGGAAAGAGCAAACAAATCACAATAGCAGAGTGTACACAGATAACACCAGAAATACTTTCTGAAGTGCTAGGCCCTGGACACTCTATGACTGCCTCTTAATATACCATTATTCTCAGGAGCCGTAAACATGAACAAGCTTTCATAACATGCAAAAGAGAAACCTAGACAAAATGACAAGATGGAAGAATTCTCCCCAAAATAAAGATCAAGAAGAAACCACAAAGAGGGATTGGCTCAAAACAGGTAGAAGCAAAACAGTTCAGAAGCAATCTGAACAAGAATTTAGAACAACAGTTGTGAGAATCCTTGCTGGGCTTGAAAAATACATAGAAGACAGCAGAGAAGCCCCTGCTGCAGAGATAAAAGACCTAAAAACTAGTCGGGCCAAAATAAAAAACTCTATACCTGAGATGCAAAACTGACTGGATGTAATCATAATGATGATTGAAGAAGCAGAAAAATAAATAGGTGATACAGAAGATAAAATTATGGAAAATACTGAAGCTGAAAAGAAGAGGGAAAGAAAACTATTAGATCACAAACATAGACTTGGGAAACTCAGTGATTCCTTAAGCACAACAGTACCTGTGCGATAGGAGTTACAGAAGAGCATGAAAAAGAGACCAAAGTTTTATTTGAAAAAAAATAGAGCTGAGAACATCCCCAGTCTGAAGAAAGAAACAGGCATTCAAGTCCAAGAGGCACAGAGAACTCCCCTAAAAGTCAACAAAAACATGTCAACACCAAGACACACCATTTTGAAACTTGCAACATACCAAGATATGCATACCAAAAGCATCAAAGCTTAGAAAGGACCAGAGAACACCATCAGAAACTGCAACTCTACAGGCAACATAATGGCCATAAATTCGTAACTTTCCGTATTCACTCTAAACATCAATGGACTCAATGTTCCAATCGAAAGACATAGGGTAACATAATGGTTAAGAAAATAAGATCTATCTATATGCTGTTTACAAGAGACCCACTTTAGACCTAAAGACATCTTCAGATTGAATGTAAGGGGATGGAGAACCATCTATCATGCTAATCGTCAACAAAAGAAAGCCTGAGTAGCCATACTTATATCAGACAATCTAGACATTAAAAGAAATACTGTATCAAGAGATGCAGAAGGGCATTATATCATAATCAAGGGGCTATCCACCAAGAAGACCTAACAATTGTAAATATTTATGCGCCAAATGTGGAGCACCCAAA